GCTGTGAATGAAGCAACTAAATTTTCACCCTATTTCCTAGTCCATGGTAGAGAGTATATAATAGATGGTAATTTATATTTAAATTCCTTCCCTCCATGTCCGTTTGATCAAATTACCTCAGACAGTACATTGGAGTATGGGAAAAAGTTGCTTGAACTTAATAATATCTTCCAAAAGGTGAGGAAATATTTGATTGTTGCCCACCAACGGAACGAAAAACAATATAACCTCAGAAAAAGACACATTGAATTAAGAGTTGGCCAGATAGTGTATAAACGTACTCATTATTTATCCAATAAGGCAAAGAATTTTTCTTCCAAATTAGCACCAAAATTTATTAAATGTGTAGTGACGGCTAAATTATCACCTTTAGTTTATACTTTAACCGATTTAAATGGTAAATGTTTAGGTAATTATCATATTAAAGATATACTAAAATATTCTGAACAACAGAACTAACAAATCTTTGAATTCCACATAGGATGCTTATTTTAGTCACTTTCAGTATTAAACGGTTGGTTAAGAAGAGTTATGGTATAGGAAGAGTGCATATGGAAATCTGTGGGCTACGGTTCGAAACCTGCCTGAAAATTAAATTGTCTTTCTCTTTTAACTAAATAAATATTTATTTACAACCTTTTTTTAACCTATATGGTCACTTTTAAAAAAATGCTTAAATGAAATTTCGAGGAATTTTAATATTTTAACACAAAAAAAAAAAAAAAAAAAAGTTTTTTTTGATAAAATTATTTTCGTCAAGTTGTGTTTACTGATATGCATATGAGTATGAGAGTAGTATGAAATGCGTGATGTATGAAAAGTGTTTTCCAAAATAAGCACGTGCAATTTATTTTAATACTTAATAGAAAAATAGGTCTTGATGTAAGAAAGGCATAAGCATAAGGAAGTGGACATATACTTTAGACTTGATAATTAAAGATAGGAAGATTGTTGGAAAATAATCTTAATCTTTTGAGTTTGAAAACATACAAACTTCTTTAATCTTGAGTTGTTTTCTTAACTACCTTAAGTTCATAAGATGAATAGAAAAGTCATGTCATACCCCTGGATAATAGATCCAAGAAAGGTATTTACATGAAACTAAAAGAAAAATCATTAAACAGCAAATATTTAATTGTTGCTATTGACTTAGAGTTTAGAACATTACGTGGAGTAAATAAATGGATACTCACGTATATAAGTTTAAATTTTTTATCTTGGCTAATACTTAGTATTGTTGATTTGTCTGTAAGTCAGTTGCAGGTTAATTAATTAAAAAAAAAAAAAAAAAAAAAAAAAAATTTTTGGGAAAAATTTTTTTGAGATAAGGGGGATGTTGTGTAGCAATTAAATTTAATAACGTTAAAACATAGCAATATAATTCTTAAATATTGAGTCGTAGAAATATTATTATTTATTCAGCGCCATCTATCATCATGCATATAAATTATTCAATATCGTAGTCCACTTTGAAAAGCAACGGACAAGTACAATATATGTGTGAACCTAGTAGTTGCATTTGGAATGTAAGTTAGATGGAGCTAGTGTGTAATTTTTTTAAATGAGATGCAAAATTGGATGTGACGTCACATTAATGTTCTGGAAACAGTGAGAGGCGGAGTCAGCAAAACCGGTCCGTTTGATTCCTCACACCAAATATGGTGATATGAGAGAAATTTGCAATGACGCTGTCACGTGTTGTAGTAGCCTATAAATAGCAGTGCACAACCAAATTCGGTCTCTTTTGGCTGATAGAACCTTGAAGATCATACTTAGAAAATAGCATTAAGACTAGCAGTGGTAGTCAGTGCATTATTTACTTGATATTTCTCCCCGGATTAACGGGTAAGTTCGTTACATTTGATTCGTTAGGCTGTAGGTCCAGTTAGTTTTTTATTGAATTATAGAAAAATGTGTAATTGGTTCTAGGTCCATTAACTTGGCTAATTAATAACAGTAATAATCACAATTACTTGATCCTGATTGGAATCTCCTTGGAAATATATATATATATGAGCCTGTGAAGCTTTCTTGAGCAAAAAGTGACGGGTTCACGTGATGACAGCAAGTCCTGCTTCATCCCTGAGGATATTTGAGTCATCCTGATGCTCCCATGATCTTGCCAAGCTAAGTAAAACTTATAACTTCTTGATATTTAACCAGTGCATACTCCGGAGAACAATTTCTGTTTAACGTGATAAAGGATTTGTATTGGTAAACTGTAAAGCCATTATAAGAACATAACAAATTTTTATTGTTAAATTTCTAAAACTTAATATTTTATAACTTGTTTAATAATTTGTTTATATAAGAAACTTAAATTGAGTATTACTGTATTAGCACATGATCTTGAATGTATGAATATCTTTAAATCAAAAGAAAAATCTTTGAGGAAATATAGCTATGTATTTATTAAGTTGAATGTGACTAGTATTAAGTTTTAACCATGATGAAATAAGATCTGAATCTTTTTTTGACAATATAATATCTTGTTCACTGCGGTTTTAGACATTTTCATTTATCTCCCTCAAATCACAGTAGTACGGCGCCCTGATTATAAATTAAATAAGTTTCGAGTCTCATGTAAGCCCTGAAATAGCCGGTGATAACAAAAATTGTTACAAAGTATTTGCCCAATTTGTTGTAATTTTTTTATTGTATTGACATCTCGATTTTTGCAGCATGACATTGACATTTTGTTTAGTTGCCCAATTTTATTGACATTATTATTGAATTGCTTGTATTGACATTTTAATTATAGTTTTGGTCTATTATATTGACATTTAATTATTGAATTGACAGTATTAACATGTATTAACAGTTTTTGCCCAATTTATTGTCGTTTTTTATTGTATTATTGGACAGTATTGACATTTTGATGTTTGTAATTTGAATCTTAGAATAATAATAATGAATATAAATAATAATGAATTTGTATGCTGATATTGGCACAACAAGTTAGGTACTTAGCTAATTATCACTGAACATCTTCCTTACACATGTTGTTACAAATAATTTTTTTTTATTTCTTTCTTAACATCAGGTGGGGTAGAGTGATTTGCCTACCTGGCTATATATAAAAAAGTAAGAGTCAACATCGTCCTGTCAAGCCGTAACGTGATAAAGTTTATAAGAAAATTCTGTCAAACTAAGAAAACAATTGCGCTTATACAATTCAGTTTGTGTTATAATATCCTGTGTTTTTTAATTCACAATTAAAAAACCGATACGCACACATGCACAATAATTTTTTTTGGAACACTTGCGATAGAGACTCTATTCTATCTTTACATCCTATATCTATGGTTTTATACTATGTGCTTTTTGATTTCAGATTTTTTGGGGCTATGCAGTCCCAGTGAAACTGTAGTCAGTGCTTCCTAAAAGATTTATTGTGAATAAAACTAGATTTATTTTGACTCGCCACGTCGTTAAAGTATCCCTTTTAGCTCGACAGCTTCCAAGAAGCTCAAAAAGATTCTAGCTTTTAGAGATTTGTTTTCCTCTGGGCGTACTATATGTCATCCCAGATGAATACTACGTTTGTGGATGAGAGGCCCACATTCACATAGAAGGTGTTTTGGTGTTTCACGCTCCTGATTGCAATATCTGTAGATACAACTGTTACTTAATTTCATATGAAATTACATTACTATGTAAAAATAAAGATAAATACCTCATATCCGGCGATTAGTCCACGGAACAAGCGTATCCAGCCACCATGTTGCCACTGAAGGTCTTCTTCCGGTTCATCTTGAATCGATTTAATGCGCTGAACACGATGACCTTATTGTCCATGGACTGGCGATTATGTATTTCTGTTTTATACAATGTAAAAATAAATGAAACAAACTAACCTAATATCCGGCGAGTAGTCCACGGAACAACAGGCGTGAAGGTTTTCTTCCGGTTCATCTAGAGTCGATTTAATGCGCTGCAGTTGATGAACCTTTTGTCCATGGGCTGGCTCGAGACCCACTTATCGTTGCCGACACGGAAATATCTTTTAACTAAATAGTTTAGGATAAATACCTCATATCCGGCGAGAAGTCCACGGAACAAGCGTATCCAGCCACCATATGGCCAGTGAAAGTCTTCTTCCAGTTCATCCTGAATCGGTTTAATGCGCTGAAGATGATACCCCTATTTTCCATGGATTATCACGCGAGCCAATTGCCGTTGGCGACACGGAAAAATATTTTAACTTGATAGTTTAGGATAAATACCTCATATCCGGCGAGAAGTCCACAGAACAAGCGTATCCAGCCACCATATGGCCAGTGAAGGTCTTCTTCCGGTTCATCTTGAATCGGTTTAATGCACTGAACACGATGACCTTCTTGTCCATGGACTGGCACGCGAGCCAATTGCCGTTGGCGACACGGAAAAATATTTTAACTTGATAGTTTAGGATAAATACCTCATATCCGGCGAGAAGTCCACGGAACAGGCGTATCCAACACCATGTTCCCACTGAAGGTCCTTTTCCGGTTCATCTTGAATCGTTTTAAAGCGCTGAAGATGATACCCCTATTTTCCATGGATTATCACGCGAGCCAATTGCCGTTGGCGACACAGAAAAATATTTTAACTTAATAGTTTAGGATAAATACCCCATATCCGGCGAGAAGTCCACAGAACAAGCGTATCCAGCCACCATATGGCCAGTGAAGGTCTTCTTCCGGTTCATCTTGAATCGGTTTAATGCACTGAACACGATGACCTTGTTGACCATGGACTGGCACGCGAGCCACTTGCCGTTGGCGACACGGAAAAATATTTTAACTTGATAGTTTAGGATAAATACCTCATATCCGGCGAGAAGTCCACGGAACAAGAGTATCCAACATCATGTTCCCACTGAAGGTCCTCTTCCGGTTCATCTTGAATCGTTTTAAAGCGCTGAAGATGATACCCCTATTTTCCATGGATTATCACGCGAGCCAATTGCCGTTGGCGACACAGAAAAATATTTTAACTTAATAGTTTAGGATAAATACCTCATATCCGGCGAGAAGTCCACGGAACAAGCGTATCCAGCCACCATATGGCCAGTGAAGGTCTTCTTCCGGTTCATCTTGAATCGGTTTAATGCACTGAACACGATGACCTTGTTGTCCATGGACTGGCACGCGAGCCACTTGCCGTTGGGCGACGCGGTCACGGCGGGTAACGAATGCATCGAAGGATCGGCAATGTACTTCATGTCGACGGGGATGTCCCTGAATATATAAATATTTATCTAATACAGTGGTTCTCAAACTTTTTAAATGACGGAACCCTTTTGGGAAGCAAAATACTTGATGGAACCCTACAATAAAACAATTATTTTTATAAGTGTATTCTATATTAATCAGCATAATAAAAGTACAATGTATCCGTTACTAATTATTATTTACTTCACCACTTGGTAAGGACAATAATAGAAAACATTAAAAAAGAAAAAATCTAACTAGTGGGAGGTATGAAACTGTTTTTTATTTTTCATCAATTGCTTGATATCAGGTTTGATGGAAGAAAGTTGGAGTCTCATATCAGCTTCGGCGTCCAGTCTATTGCGATATTTTGTTTTCGTGGCTGCGTAGGTAGAGAATCCTGTTTCGCACAAATATGTAGTTGGGAACGGGAGAAGAATATCCAGAGCCATTTGGCCAAGCATTGCATATTCATCTTGGATTCTGCACCAAAAATCATTAAGAGGCGTCGTTTTGAACAATGACTCCATACTTGTGTCTGATGACATTTCTAAAAGAGATTCATATATCTCATTTGACATGTTTTCAGGCTTTTCCAAGTTGGGTAAAAAAGGATTATGAATCCAGGAGTTCACTTTAATTTTTGTATTGTGTTCTTCGGGAAAATACTTTTCAAAAGATGCGCGCATCGAACTGAGATATTGGACCAATTCTTCAAACACATTATCTTCAAACATTTCTGAGTCGTTTTCGCTAACAAACTCAGTGAGTAACGTAAAACTTTCTATTTCTTTCTTACCAATGCAAATGATCCAAAAATCTAATTTTCTTTTAAAAGTAGTTATTTTATTATAGGCCTGAAACACTGTTGTCTGTTTACCTTGCAATGATAAATTTAATTCGTTAAGTTTTTGAAAGATATCCGCCATAAAAGACAATCGGAACAACCAAGTTTTATCATACAAACGGTCCTTCAAATTAAAAGAAGTATCTGCTGAAAGAAACATTTGTAACTCGGCTCTAAGTTCAAATAGCCTTGTTAAAGTTTTTCCCCGAGACAGCCATCGCACTTCTGTATGGAGCAGCAGTGTTTTATGTTTGCTGCCATAATCTTCACACAATAATGAGAACAATCGGGATTGTAGTGGTCGTGATTTGATAAAATTAATTATTTTTACCGCTTCATCCATAACTAATTTTAGATTAGACGGCATTTGCTTCATCGCAAGTGCTTGTCTATGCAGAATACAATGACTGGAACTACAATTAGGCGCTTTATTTTTCATTCGTGACACTGCTCCTGCTGTTTTACCTGTCATCGCCTTGGCCCCATCTGTACAAATGTCAATGCAATTGTTCCAACTGAGATTATGTTCTTCAAAAAATATATTTATTTTATTAAAAATTTCTTCCCCGGTAGTGTTTGTAAGCAGCGATGAACACATAAGCATGTCTTCTTCAAAAGAACTTTTATATGGATATCTCACAATAACCAGCAGGATAGCCAAACCAGCGACATCAGTCGACTCGTCCATTTGCAAAGCGAATCGTGTATTTTGTAGACGTGTAACTAGTTCTTGTTTGACGTAGCTTGCCAGATCATGGATTCGTCGTGAAACAGTATCGTTTGATAGCGGAACAGTAGAAAGATGCTTTGCAGATTTTTCATCAAGCATACATTTTGTTATGTCTAATACACATGGTTTTATTAATTTCTCAGCGATAGTGTGCGCTTCACCTGCTTGTGCAATGCGATAGCTAACTAAGTATGATGCCTCCGTGGCCTTTTCGTTGGTAGTTTGTGTTACATGCATCATATTTTTTTGACTTTCTAATAACTGATCTTTTTTGCGAACAAAAAATTCTTTATTCTTGTCTTTAGTCTCGGGGTGTACGGTTTCTAAATGTCGACGCAATTTGGCAGGTGCCATGGAACTATTAGGAAGCAGTTTACTACAGAGCATGCAGAGAGGTGAGCCGTTGGAATCAACAAATCCGAAACTGATATAAGATTCATCATACTTCCTTTTTTTCGTCTTTGAAACCGTCGAGCTTGACGTCGTGGCACTCGTGGCATCATCTTCTGGATCGGTGATTGCTAAATTCTCCGCGCGCATTGCTTTTGAACATTCAGCGTCATTAGAAGATGTTGTTGGAACACGTTTAACACCTTTAAGCCAACGTTCCATTCTTCTTTATTTATAATGTTACAAGTCAGGATAGTGGGGTTTAAATAATGCACAATCGTTACTGCGTATAAGAGACTAAATTTAGAACCTACAGGGAAGAAATGTATAAAACTGAGACAACAGAATACAGCAGGCAGTAAAACAATGAACACCAGTTTCTCGCTAGCGAGCTTGTAAGTAGGTAGTAACTTATCGCTCCGAACGCTAATCATCAACTGACGACGCCAACGCGCGATCGCCGCTTTTATACTTAGTCCTAGACTCGATCTCAAATATTCTCGAAAATACTCGAGTCGGCACCTTTGATAAACAAAAAGCAAAAATAAAAACAGAAATTTAAAAATAGCGTTGTAAACAATATCGACTTTATCCTTTGAAGTTAGAGACGAAAGTCGCTAGTTGACAACTATAGCGTCTAATTCAGAGGCGGCTTTTATCAAAGAGACTGAGCGCTTACAAGTATACTACCCGCTCGTTTTAAGTTTGCCGCTGGCGATAGGTATGAGTGTATGACGTTCGAAATTTTTTATTTAATTGTAACAATAAAAATTGTGTACGTTAGATATTTGGGTAAAACTATGACACATTATAAGTTTTGTTGTCACGTGGGGGAGGGTACGCGCATTCCACAGACCGGCAAACTTAGAGCGAACGCGTTGTACAAGTATAAAATTGTTGAGACCAAACTTATGAGATATTGTACCAGCTAATGTAACACAAGCTTATACAAATACAAATAAATAAATAAATAACATTCATAGCGTTTTGTCTCCGCGCGGCCGCGGAGTCCGCACAGCCGCGGAGCGACCAGAGAGAGGTGTTTTGATTTTTTTATTTCTAAATTCTTGCGGAACCCCGACAGAGGTATCACGGAACCCTAGGGTTCCGCGGAACACACTTAGAGTATAGCTGATCTAATATATAAAATTCTCGTGTCACGGTGTGCGTAATTGAACAACTCCGAAAAGGCTCGACCGATTTTTGTGAAATTTTATAGGCATATTCAGTAGGTCTGAGAATCGGACAACATCTATTTTTCATCCCCGTAAATGTAAAGGATGATATTTTTTTTGGACATTTTTTTTTTGTTTTTTTTTTTTATGATACATCATACAAAAATACATACAAAACTAATTTTTCACCCTTCTACCACCAACCCCTATTTTTTATGGTAGTACGAAGTTCGCTGGGACAGCTAGTATATATATAAATATTCCTAACACTCACAACAATTAGCCTAGCCCCAAAGTAAGCACTGTAAGGCTTGTGTTATCCTTTGGTGGACGGTGGTCTCGAGTCGGCGACACCATGAAATAGGGCGTATAAACCACTCGACCACGGAGGTCGTCAATTTCATTGATACATTTGTTCAAATGAACACGTTATGTCGTGGCAGTAAGGTTGTAGGATAGTTAGGTTGTCAAATGTATACGTGTGAGAAAGAGATTACTGTACGAGAGAAATGAGACATCCACGATCACGTGACGCACACAGGGTGATATATTTTGTTGTAACTATTAAAGTGTAATTAATAAGCTAAACGATATTTATTATACTTCATATTTTGTGAGTAAATGATTGATGAAAGGATTATTGATTTATATGTATTATGAAACACACGTCTCTGTATCTGGAGGCGGGCGCTAATAGCTGTAACACAGTTCTAGAAACTAATATAGCTATTAAGGAACCTAAATTATACATGTACACAACTTTGATGAGTTCCAATAAATATATTTTTCATTTTCATTTTTATTAAAAAATAACAAGTAACTCACCACTCCCAAACCCGCAGACTCTTGTCGTCTGAAGTGGTGACGAATCTTCTGTTCTCATCCACGAATGTGATGCTGTTGACTGCGCCTAAATGTCTGTCGTATTCTTGTACTATTTCACCGCTTCTCGTATCCCACTACAATGAAAGTAGTTGACCAATAAAAAATATTTCCAACACTCACACCTGCTGGCCTAGTGGTTAATAAATAAAACCTGTGACAGTTGTATTGTTTTAAATTAGGCAATGCGATACTTCACTAAGGTCCACTTGCAGCCATTTCGCCATAGAGGTATTACGGTTAAGCTAAAACTAGATTTATCTCATAATAAAATGCCAAATTACTAACTAGTTTTAGTTTAAATCTAAAGAAGATTTTAATAGAAAAAGTCCATGCGATCCAGGCAGCAAACGGGACTCGAACCCGCTATTCGGACGGACACACTTAACAAATTGTGCTACAACGACCTTGATACATTTATTGAAGTATTTTTTAGGCTGCAAAGCAGCGCCATCTCTACGCATTGTAGGTAACCAACAATGTCAAACGAATACCTTTACAAGTATTGAACTTTCGAAAGGGACCTTTTGGCGGGATCGGGAAGCGTCACTTTAGCAGTTTTTTTTTCTTGTTAAAAATTGTGTTGTGGCGGATGTTAGTGTCTAATAATGGTGGATTATTAGTGGCAGTCGGCACTTACTTTGACTTGATTTATTACTTTGACCACGAGTGCTATAGAATTTGTAAACATTGTAACACTTGACATTGGCTAAATGCACAAGCCGTGCGAAACCATTTAGAAAGAAAAAAAACTTTCGAAAGAAGAAATTGCAATAATTGCTATTTCTTTCTTAAAAATATATATATATATATATATATAATAAACTACAATTATTGTAGTCTTTATTTTATGTGGCAAAGTTGTGGGACCTGTATACAATACTTACGCATATGATCTTCTTGTCGGAGGTGCCGGCGACGAACAGATGCTGCTTGTCCGGATCAGGATTGAATTTAACGCAGTACGGCACTTTACGGGACGTAAACCGGGACACGCAGGCCCCGGTCTCAGTGTCCCACAGCTTTATGTAGCGGTCGTAAGCTAACATACAAACAGGAATTATTTATTAATGATATTAATGCGGTAACTTGGTTATTACCTTAGATAAAAACAAAAAGGGAAGGCACTCGCGGCTCAAAAGTGATCCGCTGAAATAGGGTATTTGACAAGTTTTAGAAAACGATCTCACGTTATTGACTAATGTTTATGGAGTCCGTAAAAAGATGGATATTCATCATTCTGTTGTGTATTTCAGTAAAAATAACCAAATCAACTCCATTTTCAAGTTGCCTCGAAAACGTTTCCCTGGACAATATGGCGTCTTACTAGTGTGTGACGTCACACGACTGTTATTAAAACGTCAAACAATACAATGTAATGTCACTTTTACAGGAAGTTTACTTGCGTGTGACGTCATTTTAGGCTCCGCCAATCCCAAGCGTTTTGGGTCACGTGACAATAGATAAGAAAACTATTTTCTTTTATTAAAAATAGTAAAAACCCCTGCCAATATTCATTCTAAACACAGATGCTAACAATTGGCACTTTATTTTTAATACTGTCAAATACCCTATTGTGGTGCATGACCATAATTCGCTTTAGTCATTTAAACACGATGCTTGTGCACTCAATATAACAATATTGCGTATATTCTGGGTTATGAAGATAAAACGATGTCTTCGATGCTTTTATAAAGAACACAAATAGTTCAAAATCAAATAACAAATACCTCGGCAACACTTTTCATTCGTAAAAGTGTAAAAATTGTTTTTTCTCAAAAATAATAAAAAGATTTTGCGTTTAAACGAAATATTAGATATATTTAAGATAGATCGCCCCACAAACAGTCGGCTTGACATATGTCAGCGGCATATGTCGACTTGGTGGAATAGGGTACAAGATATAAGCGACACTATAATAATAAATGTCTTATATAACAAACTTTTTTAGTGGTAAAGACTTTGGGGGCGTCCATAAATTACGTAAGATGTTTAAGGGGGGGAGGGGGTCGAGTCAAATCTCATCTAATCTTACTTTGGAGAGAGGGGGGGTCTCGGCAAACATCACGCAATTTTTTTTCTTATTGAAACAAAAATAAAAACTATTTTGGTCCAGTTCTATCACAAGAGCTGCAGAGCACAGGCGAGTAGCCCATATTGTACTAGCTAAGCAAGCGCGTATGTTCCGCAAAGTGCGACCGTCACGGATTGTCATAAGGCTAATGAGTTACTGTGCGCAAGCGCCAACGGCTTAGAGTGGCTAGATCAGAACGAAGTTGAAGGAGCAGATGATTTTACTGACACTCATATAGACATGTTGGTTCCAATAGTCTCTCTTGAGACCGCGCATGATTCTCGAAGGATGAACTCTCAGCAAATTGATTACTAGTCTTAACTAGTCGTAAATGAAAGCACGAAGCAAATTTTTATTTTCTTTTTACAATAACAATCCAACGCGTTTATGTAGGAGACCCACATTTTGAAAAATCTCACGTGAGATTGGGGGATGGGGGAGGGGGTTGAATAAAATCTCATGACATCTCACCAGGGGGGAGGGAGGGACAGAAAAATCAAAAAAACACCTCACGTAATTTATGGACGCCCCCTTTCTCAAGTACTAAAAACGTTGTCAAAACACAAATAATTTCCGAATTAAAATATCAACACTAAAAGCCGCTTTGCAACGGCATAGCTACATGTTACTAACTTAGTTTAGCCTGCACAACGACAGTTTCAGTATCTTATTTAGTTCCTAGAAACCTGTTATTGGCCATTCTTACTACTAAGTTAAATTACAGGGCCCCAATCGACCGATCCATCTTCCAGGAAATGAATTATTTAAATATTCCCTTACCGCAGTTGCATAGTGTGCGGGTTTTGTATCCACATTGACGATGTTATTTAATAATGTAAAATGACACAAATAGATACTAATTTAATTAATTTAGTTTTTTTTAGATATTCGCCTCTTCAATTCAATTCATTTATTGCAGACCATAATGGAGATACAAAGGTGGTAACATATAGACAAAAGTGCATTATGGAGCCTGTAGTGTAGGGGCAAGAGGAGAGGACGTCTTATTCATAATTCCTTATTGTGATATAATTTGTTATATCCAATGAATTAAAACCCATAAAAATATTTATTCATACTACTCCAATAAGATATTGTATAATTAGATTTATGATTTATGTACGATTATTAATTATGTAAGTATTGTATTATATCTTTTTATAATAAAAATAATATTGTATTTGTTATATTTATTCCATAGTAGTTTTATCATTTAGGTATTCCTGGAGGCTATAATAGCATTTATTCAATAACATTAACTTAATTTTTTTAATAAAAACATTGTAATTTTCTTCATTTTTTAAATTTTCAGGTAATTTATTATAGATTGTTATAGACATATTATAAGTGCTCGATGAGCATAATTTAAGGCGAGTAGTTGGAACCATTAGGTTTTTCTTGTGTCTCGATGTATATTTTGAAGGAATGTTTTCTCTTCTAGTAAAAAAAATTGAGTATTTTTTTACAAATTTACAAATCTCAAATATATAAATGCTTGGTAAAGAGAGAATTTCATATTTTTGGAAGTAAGGTTTACAACTTTCAGTTTGGTTAATATTAACAATAATACGAATAAGTTTCTTTTGTAGTGTAAATAAAGAGGATACGTCCGTACTGTTCCCCCACAAGATGATTCCATAGGTAAACCAGGCATTGGCATAAGCATAATATGTGATAAGAGCAGTCTTTAGATCTGTTGTTTTTTTGACCTCTCGAAGTGCATATGTAAAACTAGATAATTTATTTTTTAACATCTGGATGTGAGATTTCCAATTTAAGTTAGTGTCTATAGTTATACCCAGTAACGAAAAATCATTCACACATTCAATATTTTTGTTTTGAAAACTATAACAGAATTTTAGCGGTAATTTTTGACGCGGGTGAAAGGTTATTAATTTAGTTTTATCAAAGTTTATTCTAAGGTTATGTTTGTTTAACCAGTTTAAAGTCTGGGTCATTATTAAATTTAATTTGGTTTGTAAGTTGTTGTTGTTTTTACAAGATGTGAGAAGAGAAATATCGTCCGCAAAGAGGACACACGGTTCCTCTATTATTTTAGGGAGGTCATTGATATAAATTAGAAAAAGGAGACATCCGATGACGCTCCCCTGTGGAATGGAAGCGTTTATAGTTTTACTTTCAGAGAGAACCTTTATTATTTCTTTGTGTATATGATCAAAATATTCTATTTCAACAAATTGCTGACGGTTTTGCAAATAACTTTTAAACCAATTATGCGCTGTTCCGGGAATGCCTATTCCGTATAATTTATTAAGTAGTATTTTATGATTAACACTATCATATGCTTTCGACATATCCAATAGAATTCCAATAGCATATTTTTTATCTTCTATTACTTTAATTATTTGCTGAACATATTTATAAACAGCCAAAACTGTAGACCGTTTCTTCCTAAAGCCATTCTGGCTTTCATCGAAGATTTCAAACTTTTCGCAGAACTTAATAACACGATCATTCATTGCTTTTTCAAATATCTTTGACGAAGTAGACAGCAAGGCGATGGGACGGTAATTGTTAGGATTTGATTTGTCATTTTTCTTATGGATAGGCTTGATAATTGTTGTTTTTAGTAATGTAGGGAAAACACCTTCTTTGAAGGACTGATTAATCAACATTGTAAATGGCAAAGTTAACTGATCGGCACATTCCTTGATTAAGCGGGGCGGAAATTCATCAAATCCATAGCTATTTTTATTTTTTAAATTCCTAATGATTTTCCTTACTTCGTAAGGTTCCACTGGGCTTAGAAACATGGTGTTAAGCGTAGGGTTGAGCACGTGACGTACCACAGCCGCTATCAGTCGACAAAGTTGATTCACCAACGGAAGAAAAGAAGTTATTAAAAATATTTGCAATGGATTTAGGTTCGGAATACATGATATTGTTATAATTTAGTTTTATATTACATTTATCTTTAATATTTTTCTTGTTTGTCGTTTCATTCACTATACTCCACATAGTTTTAACTTTATTATTAGATTGTTTCATTCTGTTTATAAAGTGTAACTTTTTTGCACATATTATAGATTTTTTAAGTATTTTTATATATTTTTTATAATGTGTTCTTAATATAGGATTATTAGATTTAGTGTTAAATATTTTAAGTAGCCTTTTATGTTGACATGATTTTTTTATTCCTATTGTTAACCAGACTTTTTTATTTTTTATGACTTTAAATTTTCTTTTAGGGATATATTGATTTAGTATTTCTGATAATGTATTGTTAAATGCAGCATAATTTTCATTTATATTTTTATTTTTAATAATTATTTTATTCCAATCAACTAACTGTAATTTTTCTTTATATTCTGAGATTGCTTTTTTATTATATATTCGCTTTTCTACATACCAAGTGCTGTCCTTTACTTGTTTAGGTATCTTGAGTTCTACGTATATACCTGAGTGATATGAAAAACCCAAAGCCTCCACCGAGGTTTTTATGTGCTTACTATCAAAATTGGTAAAGATGTGGTCTATACATGTTGAAGATGTTGGTGTAAAATGTGTCGGTTCCTTAATATGTTGAGTAAATTTAAATTCTAACATAAAGTTTAAGAATTCTAATGCCTTTTTGTTACGATCTAATAAGTTAATGTTAAAATCCCCACCTATTATTACTTTGTATTTTGTATATTTGCTATTTACATTAGATATAGACTCAATATGCTCTTGCAATAGGACGCAAATTCTTCGGATTCATTGTATTAATTTTGCACCTTTACTAGTAAACCATAAGTTTTATACCAATTTAGAAACCTTACTTAATGCACATGTTTTTAAAATAATGAAACACTTTGGTGTCATACTTTTTTTTACATTAGGAGCTTTTCAATTTAGGTCACCCAAATAAAATGCAATAAAATGTTAAGTTACTTAAATATTTTTGAAAGAAATACAATGTCATCATGCACATGTGATATGCGAGTTGAGAGGCAATCTATCTGAGCTACATTTTAGCGAAAAAAGGTTTGAAAATTTATAATATTTGCATCAATGCCATTAAAAAAACCAATTCAAGACAAAAATATTGAAAAAAATACATTTTATCATTTTTTTGGCAACCCTAATGAATTTCAAAAAACGGTTCAAATTAGTTGTAGGCAATCAAGTAAACTAGCTAGGATTTACGGTTGGACTATTATTTACGGTACACCCTGAATGTAATACTTATTTGTATCGCTTGTGGTTTTTCAAAAATAAATAAAATAAAGTATTATATACTATAAAATAAAAGAAAAGAAAATAAAATAAATCAGTCACTCACCAGCGGATAGAAAGTGTGCCCCTTGGTTATTGAAGTTGACGTCTCTGACCGCCTGCCGGTGCCCGAAGTATGTCCGCACGCAACGACGGCTGCCGTAAACCTCCCAGATCTAAACGATAACACACGATTTTCCAGAATGACGGGCGCCAGGTGGTAAATTTGCTAAATCTCGATTCAGCTAAATCTAGCTTTAACCCATATATGAATGCCAATATTTTTTAACACACCAATTAGCCTAGCCCCAAAGTAAGCAGTGTAAGTCCTGTGTTATTGGATACTAGGGTGACGGATAGAATACATATAAAGTACATATATAAGTATATTTATATAAAAATACAGATTAAAAATTCATGACTGGAGTGCAAATGCTCGTGTTCATCACACAAACATCTGCCCCCACCGGGAATCGAACCCGGGACCTCTCGACTCGGCAACCCATGAAACCCGGCGTACAAACCACTCGGCCACGGAGGTCGTCAATTGAAGTTTTGACATTTTTAGATGGGTTACATCTGGTTTTAGCTAAATTCAAAATTAGCAAATATGCTGCAGGCGGACCTTGATTAATTCAATTCAAACTTAATCGTGTGCAGAAATACATTGTGACAGATATTGTCTTGGTCTTCCCTAGCTTCTCATCATCATCATCAGCCTATTAATTTCCCCGCTGCTGGGACACAGGCCATCCCCATTTATGGAATAGGGAGATTGGAAGCTGTCCCACCACACGAGCGCAATGCGGATTGATGGGTACTTACGACTGCAGATGCAGCCGGGACCAACGGATTAACGTGCCTTCCGAAGCACGGAGGAGCTCGAAATAGTAGATTTTTGGTCACCCATCCAATGACCGACCACTGCGATAATTGCTTAACTTCAGAAATCACAACCCAACAGGCTAAAGATTTGCGCCATCGAGCTCCTTCATTCTTACAAATGTATTGGTATTGATATATCTACATCCTTGATTACTTAAATAATTTAGGCCCACCTGCAGTAAATTTGCCAAATCTAGATTTAACTATAACTAGATAAATCAAAACGTCAATGTCAATTTGACATTATTGTATGGACTATAACTAGTTTTAGCCTTTTATGACTCCAAATTGAAAATTGGCAGATGCTTTCGACTACATTAAAATACATCCATTTTTACAGCGGAAGCATTATGGATATTCTAGTTTAAAATTAAATTGTGATTCGGCAAATCGCTGCTATTTGGGAATAAGTAATAATAATAATAATCTTTATTTCTGAACCATGACGTATACAATATAAAAATTTAGCGTTAACAACCGTAGTAGTCTAAGACTGTGTTACAGTTATTAGCGCCCACCTCAAAAGACAGGCACATTACAGATATGATTTGAAACAAACAATTAATAATACATTACACTGTGTGTGTGTGTGTATGAGTGAATGTGTATATGTGGTGTGTGTGTGATAGAGAGATGTGTGTGCATGTGCATGTTTTACTTGATCAATAACTCCACAGTGTCATATTCCAAGTCAAGGAACCACCCGCTCAATTTGATCTTACATTCATGCTTTGAAAGGGTAAACGTTAAAATAATAAGTAAATCTATTAAATAAAATTCTCGTGTCACGGTGTGCGTAACTGAACTACTCCGAAACGGCTCGACCGATTTTCGTGAAATTTTATATGCATATTCAGTAGATTTGAGAATCGGAAAACATCTATTTTTCATCCCCCTAAATGTTAAGGGTGGTCCACAGTAAATTTTTTTTTTATATTTTTTTTTTGTAATAGATCATACAAAAATACATACAACCCTAATTTTTTCCCTACTACCACTAACCCCTATTTTTTATGGCGGTACGAAGTTCGCTGGGACAGCTAGTAATAGTATAAATTTTACCTTAACCCGACAGTCCATTCCTGCGGACAACATAAGATGAGCCGTGGCCGGGAACCAGCGAACGGCAGCCACGCCTTTCGTATGGCCTCGCCACGTGTGGATGTGTGCCTGAACAATCATATTTATTTATTAATAAATAATATACAATAATAATAAATAAATATTTCCAACACTCACACTAATTAGCCTAGCACCAAAGTAAGCACTGTAAAGCTTGTGTTACAGGGATACTGGGGTAACGGATAGAATACATATATTGTCCGTATATAAGTATATGTATTTATATAGAAATACATAGAAAACATCCATGACTAGAGTACAAATGCTCGTATTTATCACACAAACATCTGCCCCCACCAGGATTTGAACCCGGGACACTCGCGTCGGCAACACTATGAAACCCGGCGTACAAACCACTCGACCACGCAGGTCGTCAAATTATAATTATTGCGTGCATATATCGTTGAAAGTGCGCGCTGCGATAAATTCATATAGAAAACGATTCCTGTGTAACTATCGCGTTGCACCAAAATTGCCCAGCTATGGCCATACAACTAAAAAAGTTGCAGATAAATCGTTTTGAAACTATCGCAAGTGTGGGCGCACTTGCAAATATACATGTACATATACTTGAAGTCCGCACAACACGTTATTTGACAGTATGAAAAATAAAGTACCAATTGTTGGCATCTGTATTTAATATGAATATTGGCAGCGGTTGTACTAAAAGAACAAATAATTATTAACTATAAGAATCATAAAATAAAAAATGTTTTTTTTTGTTCTATGGTCACATGATCGAACACACCTAGGATTTACGAACACTAAAATGACGTCATACGCTAGGAAACTTCCGGTCAAAGTGACATTGTATCGATTGACGTTTTACTAACAGTCGTGTGACGTCACAGACCAATGAGACGCCATATTGTCCGTGAAACGTTTTCGCGGCAACTTAAAAATTTTTTTTATTTTATTTAGTTGTTATACTGAAATACAGAAACAGAATGATGAATATCCACTTTTGATGGACTCAAAAAACTTGTCAAATACCCTACTGTTGCAAAAAGTAATGTTTTTTTTAGTAATGTTATTAATTATTTGTTCTTTTGAAATAGTGCAAGCGCTGCTTATTTTCATATTAAATACAGATGCCAACAATTGGTACATTATTTTTCATAATGTCAAACAGCCTATTGCAAGTGTGTTCTAGCTGTAACGGAAATACCAATAACAATATCGACGATCACGACGTACAATAGTCAAAGCAAAGACACGATACAACAGTGACAGTGAAAATTTTTGGACACTTTAATAACAATAATTTAAGAGTAGGGCATAGCGGATATTCCGTTTGAATTGGGACAGTAAAATAACTCTACCTTTTGGTGGTGATGTGTTTCTGTCGGTAAGTGAGGTTCTAGGGCTCCACTGGACAGGGGATTGGGGATATTTTTGGTATCGCAAGCGTCTATGGATCGTAAGTCATCGCTTACCATCAGGCGGGACATGCATATGTACAGATACATTCAGATTTGTTTGCCACTCTTTTAACATAAAAAATATCATGGGCAATTCTTATATTCTTATGGATATTAATACAAATTTTAACAAGCTCCCATAATATATTATTATAAGCTAGTTTATCCTTCCACCAATTTCAATTTTATTTTCGTTAACGTTTTGTTGTGTATTATTATTGTACTTGTTTCCTCGGATCTTGTTGAAACAACTACATCTTTAAAAGATTGCTGAAATGAAAGCAAAATACTTTACCTTCGGTAAAAAGCATTTGTCAGGTGGCGTGTCGCTTCGAAGCTGCGTTTCGCTTCGCGGCGCTTCTATCCACGAGCGGCCCTGGTAATCGGTCGCCTTATCGACTGTAAAATTTAATAATAAGAAATATTTTCAACACTCCAACCAATTAGCCTAGCCCCAAAGTAAGCACTGAAAGGCTTGTGTTATGGGGATACTAGAGTAATGGATAGAATACATATTATATAAGTATATTTTTATAGAAATATATGACGATTTTGATTGCCAGTGGGGTCAGATGTTTGTGTGACGAATACGAGCATTTGTACTCCAATCATGGATGTTTAATATGGATTTCTATATAAATATACTTACATATATACGTATCAGTACCCTAGTATCCCACAACACAAGCCTACAGTGCTTACTTTGAGGCTATGATAATTATAGTAATATAAGTTATTTAAGGGATTGTTACCATGTACAACATGGTACCAATTACGATTGACTATGGTAATTGGTGTCACTGTTGGAAATATTATAATATGATATAAGGAAATAATATAATAGGAGCAAATGCTCGTATTTATCATACTAACATTTGCCCCCACTGGGATTCGAACCCCGTCACGGGTTCTCAAATATTAACAATAATGTTAAAATTTCAACAAAATTAGTATAAATACAACTGTAAAAGACTTTGAGATTTTTTAATAGGCTTGCTGTGCTATTAAAAGAAAGACACTGCAACAGCTCATCATTGTCATTTTACTCAAAACTACATGATCAGTTTTATAGCCCTTTGTGTTAAAATGGTGTTAAGGTACATCAGGAATGGCGACCCTTTACGAATGTATCAACATGCCATTTGTCTAAACATATGTTTCATGTATATGTATGGTCTTAGACATGCCTTCAAATAATTTTGAATTTTGTGATCAGACTCACATAAAATATTGTGTTGCGTGCTATTGTCATTGGTTCTCCAGCTGCCCTAAATAAATACCACAATGGAATCGGTATTGATTCTTGGGCCAATTTCATTGTCTCCTTTAAATGTCAGTATGTGAACCATACAGTTTTATACAATGAATTTTTAGACAGTATAGATGAATGAAGGAAGCTACTCCACATCATTATAAATACCATCATCATACTGAGTTTGAAGTTAATCTCAAAATTGTTCTTTAATTTCCATATGGTTTTCATCAACATCACGAAAATTAAAGACAATCTAACCAAAATAAGATACACTTTCTACACTTTTGTAATAAGTTGTTTTATAGTTATGTTTTTTTTTATTTATTTTTAAGCATTTAACTGCTAGATGCTCTTTCAAATGTTTAATACTTGAAAAAGTATTCATTTGACATTGTGGGTTACCTACTATGCGAAGAGATGGCGCTGCCTTGCAGCTTAAGACTAGGAAAATTTCGACGCGGCTAATAGGGCCGTGGTAGCATAATGGTCAGTGCATTCGCCTGGATTGCGAAGGGTGCGGGTTCGAGTCCCGTCCGCTGCCTGGTCCGCGTGGATTTTTTTCTAGTAAACTTTTCTTTAGATTTAAGTTGTTTTATATTTACAAAAATATACAAGGAATAATTTCTATAAAAATTAAATTTCTGGTTGAATTAAAATATTGAAATTCAAAGCAGTGTTACATGATCATAACAATTCTTACTTTTCTTAAATTATTATTTATAAATAAATATTATTGTTATATAAATGTATAAACACCATAGCTTTGTACATAGCTATTCTCAGAATTCCTATTTATTTCCTGCATTGCTAAAATATAAATACTTGTATAAAATATATAAAAATCTCAAAATGAGCCAAACAAAGCTTCCACACTTACTGTGCATAATAGATTTCTCTTCCAGAGGTTTGTCATCATCCACTTTGCCTCTTTTTTGTCTTTTGGCCAAAATTTCTTCCAACTCTTTGGCTTCATCACCTTCTGGTTTCATAACTCTAAAATTTATTAGAAGAAAAATATATTATTAAACTGCTTAAAATTGATGAGTCCAAAAATGTTTTTTTTTTATTATAAACAAACATACATTTAAACACAAAGAAAATATAAATTATGCAAATAAACTAAAGAACAGGTGAAATTTTGTGTAACAATATTAGCATTTTATGCAATTTCATATTAATAACAAAAACTACATAAATATCACCCATACATCCATCAGTTTGTAATATTTATTTTTGTTTAAATAGTTAGTAGTAGTAATTTTTATTTAAATGATTAAAGTGATATGATATTATAGATTCCAGTAGGAATGAACGGTAGTGGATGGCCCGCTATAGCCATACATATTTGTCATTACAAAATTCAATATTTAATACTTTGGGTAAACTGCTTTATTATATCTACTGTACAAGCAACATATTACCTTCTCTCTCCTTCAAAACCTCCCCAAGGCCCCAAGAACCCATTGATATCTTCGGGATTATCATTTTTATTCCTTTTCTTTTTATCAAGTGGTCTCTTTTTTGTTGATTCAAACACTGATTTGCCTTCTGTTTCTGGAGGGGGTGCCACCATAGCAGAATCTAAAAAAATATACATAGCTATGTTAATACATATATTAGATACCTATCTAGTTCTTTTTAGATTTTTTTAAATAAATCAATCTCTTACATCAAGTTTAGGTCCAAACTAAGTAGTTTTAGCCACATAAACAAGTGGTTAAAACTGCTTGGTTTGAATTCGCTTCATATATTTATATGAACACTCAATTCAGTTTCCATTTGCATGTGCACAGTGATATGATATAAAATAATGTATGAAATATCATATCACAGTTCCCATGCTCATAAGACAGGGACAAATATTTGAGCTCATCTCACAAGCAAGTACCCTTATGTAAGGACCATAGGACCTTTTTCTACTTACGAACAACAGCATCGGTTTTTCCTGCATCCCCATCTGTCGACGGATCAATTGCATATCCATAACTAGTAAATGTCCGTCTCTGGTTTTCAAACTGGAAATCACTTATGTGAGCCTTCTCTACATATCCAGAGAGAATATTTCTGTTTGCTTTCATTTGTTGGGTTTGAAAAGGATTTTCTGGTCCAAATGTTGGTGCAAAGAGCTCTTCATATTTGGGATTATGCATCAACTCTTGATTTGCTGGTATGAGCACTCTGGTATCATCATTATTCTGACAAAATATATGCATATTGATTTAAATATAGTCAAAAACATTAGCAAATAAACAAATAAAAATTAATGCACTTTTTGATAATATGCTAAAGAAGCAAAGTAAGCCTAGCTAGCCAAGCCAAGCCAAGTAGGGCCCATCCTACATGCCCAGGTAGGGTTATTAGATGGTAGACAAAACGAGGTGGCTACTTTCTCTTTGGGGATAGTGACAAAATATCAGTTTACTCACCGTGGGCATTACTACAGGAGCAGCACAAATTTGCATTGTTTTGGCTACAGACAATTTAGGATCAACAGGCTTCAAGTGAGTCAACAAACTTTCATTACTATTTTCTCTAACAACTTCCTGGTCATTCTCATCTTCTGAACTGCTTCCGTAACTTTGTATATTAAGCATTATTTATTACTGATTTATTCTTATTTAAAAACCTATATTTGATTAAAATTATTAATTTACGTGTTCCATGAACGTTTTTGTTGTCATTTCGCGAGGAAATAGCAATGACAAACGGTATCTGTCACTGTCAGTCAACATGACAGTCAAAAAGAATATATTTTTAAATTTACTTTAATGATGACAATGGTAACTATGTCCATACATCATTGTATTTAGTTTAATAAATTCTCCTTTTGTCTTTCATTTGGATGAAGGTTTATGGAGTTCGTTTACAACATTAAAATACTAACTTTATAAGGCGTTAGTAGAAATCAGATATTTAGTGAGTGCTAACATGGGGCTAACTTAAATATTAAAGATTTTAAAATTTTATACTCCCTGAACGCAGTAAATATCGGACTAACTAATCAGAGTAGCCAACATACAGACAATAATCAATCAAGTCAGGTGACGATCCCTTGTGACATTTCTCAATTTATCAAAAATAAATTCTGAAAAAGATTAGAAAACATGGCTTTGCAAGCAGCAGTAAAAGGAAAACTAATCAGCGTCATTGGCGATGAGGTAAGAATATTCATCAAGTGTTGTTTCTGTATTACTTACGAAATTATATTTATTGTTTTTGTCATCAAAACAGCCCATCGAACGCTAACTTATTTCTCTTTTCGCTAACTTACTTCTTTCTCTTTTAGGATACATGCGTCGGCTTTCTTCTTGGTGGCATTGGTGAAATCAACAAAAATCGACACCCGAATTTTATGGTCGTTGACAAAAGTATGTAGCCCATTATTTAACTTTGAAATTTTCACATTACATGGATGCACAAAATCAATCGTAAAACCATTTACCAACTAAATATTGATCATTTTGCAAACAACTACAATACCATAGTCATACTGATTAATTCATTTATTATAACAGACACAGCTGTAAGTGAAATTGAGGAGTGTTTCAAGAGATTTGTCAAGAGAGATGACATCGACATCATTCTCATCAACCAGAACATTGCTGAGATGATCCGACATGTTATTGATGCTCACACGGCCCCTGTACCTTCAGTGCTCGAGATCCCATCTAAAGATCACCCTTATGATGCTAGCAAGGATTCCATTTTACGTCGTGCAAAGGTATGTATTTACTTAGAAGAAAATCAATGTTATCTTATAATTATGTTTATGTCTCAAAGTACTGATGAGTGTGTGATAATATGTATACCTCTTTGGCAGGTGTGACTTTTATTGAATTTAAATAAGGCACTATGTCAAAATATTATTCATATTGAAAAAAAATTATTAAACACTTATTCTTTATTTCCAGGGCATGTTCAACCCAGATGACCTGGTACGCTAATTACAGTTTTATTGCATGATGATTTGGACTGTTTTGAGAGCAGACTATGGCAGTTGTAAATATGCCAAACCAAAAAGATACTAACTATTGTAATTACACACTTACTGCTATTGTAAATTCAATCCTTTTTAGTTTTTGTGCAATTTCCAAAATAATAATGCCTGACCCCTGATACATTCCACACACTAAACAGAAAGATATATTCATCATCAATGAAAAGAAACAGTATAATATTTTTATTAAAATTTATGATTTAATTAATAATAAAATAGATTATTTAATCTTGTATAAATTTATTGAAGTTCTGTTAATGTAAAATACATATAGAAGAATAAAACCATATGCATTGTTTTTGTTCATTTATTTTTTGTGTGTTATTTGTGCATGTTTGGTTTTTGTGAAAGATAATTAATAATGGTGGAATCACCTAGGAGACATAAATGAAATATTCAGAAATTCGCTATTAAGAATAGTGCAAAGGGTAAGTAAGTTTTTTTTCAATATTAAACAGCTGTCATTACTAATCAACAATTTTTTGTAATAATGTTTGTTGTGATTTGTTGTATTGTAACATTTGATATGTCCTACTAAACTAATTTATAAGTAATTTTTTTTTTTAATTAGATAACTATTGCAGATAATATAGAAAAATAACTTTTCAAAAGTAAATTTTGATATCTAACAACGAACTAGTGTACATGTATTCACTAAAAATAGAGTAGTGAAAGTAAATACAGTTTAGAGTAGAAAAACAATGCCCATTGATTTATTAATAAATATACTTACACTTATTTATTTCCTTTTGTTTTCAGTCAATGTTTGGATCTGATAACTACAATACATAATGCTTGTGATGAATATGAAAATGTATATAATGATAGTTGGTTATTATTTGTAATTATATTCTCTTTAAAAGATTTATCCAACTGTTGTTAATTTAGATAATAAATAAAGCAGCTTAAAATGTATTCCTTTCTTTATTTTTAACAAACTTACATATTAATACTTAACACTATTAAATTATATACAAATTACATTATACAAATTACAACCATAATGAGATATACAGTTAAAAATATTACCAGTCGCTAGTATTTGGTGTCGTGATTAGTGCTAAAGTAAATAAGGTACCCGTAGTCTATGTGTTAGTGCTTTTACATTAACATCGGTGGTTAAAATTTATTCGTCAAATTCGGCGACATCATTTTCGGCCTTCTTGTGACCAACCCAGTCCCATTTGGAATAGTGGAGCTTGGTCTTCTTGAATTTGGGATTCTTGGAGGTGATGCGGACGAAGACCCTGCGACCGAAGAGTGGCTGCAGCTGCCTGAAGTTGTCCACAAGAGGCAAGTTCAGGTTGGACAGGAGGCCACGGAAGTTATCCATCTGAAACACAATGACGTTTTGTTAGTGATATTCAGCTGATTTGTCAGGCGACGGACATTTGAGGTTTTCTTAAATTGAATTATTTTCTAAAAGCGAGCTGTTAGCCATATGGTACTGTACTGCAACCATCTCATAGTTAAACTTCTTAATACTTTCTTTGTTACTAGAGGTCCGTTAAATTGGAGAAAGATTCAGGTTTTATACTGGTTAATGTCATGTCATAGCGTGTAGAATTTTCAATCGGCGCTATTTACCCGCACTTTTGGAACTGAACCTTGGTCCTTGGAATGCTTATACAGTGACCGTCGTAGGAGATTTGTCAGCGGTTTACGTGGATTGGCTGCCTTAAGCTGGACGAAATGAGCGAGGAGGTTTCCTTACAATGCCATTACCTCGTTGCGATCCCCGATGACGAGGAAGGCGTCACGCACAACCCAGACTCAAACAAAAACAGAAAAGGATAAGGGTTGTGGTTACCTGGAAGACCGAGATCGGGAGGTAGTCCGAGAACACGACCCATGTGACGGCTTCAGCGCAAGGCGGCGTGGTGAGGGAACCCTTGTAAGTGTAGAAACGTTCTGTATCCAGCCCGGACAAGATGGAGGACAGCGAGAAGGTGTGCGGCAACTGCATGCTGGTGTTGTAGTTCTCGATGGCTGAGAGATTCTTCACGAGGGGCGTCAGCAGCTTAGCATCAAACTCGACCACCTGGAATGCCATTTCACATCAATAATTACGTCGATGGCTGGTTCTCAACTTACTAACTATTGTTATTCGAATTTAGAAATTGCTACTGGTGTAATGTAATTTGTAATCAACCGCCTGATAAAGTACTCAGCAATTAATCCCATTGCTTCCGTAATTTCAATAGGAGCTTGTATATCTCTCATAATTTTACAAGTTGATTGAGATTTGAAGGCGTAACCAGTAATTGATGTTTAATCGGTATCCCTCTACTGATTAGTGCTCTATAGAGCGCTATCATTTAAAAACATTATCATAACCCAATATTATTCATCAAGTTTCTCTTAGCGTAACTCATTTTTAAAAAAATACGAGGATTTTTTTTAATGATGCAAAACTAGTGTCTGAATCCGTATTATCAACTCTTAACAAAAGATTTAGTAGTACTTTTAATGTCTTTGACTTTTAAGAACTCTGAACTTTTGAAATTATCTTAGCTATGGCGCGTAAGTTTATTTAAATTACCTGGTAGAAGAAGGCGAGCACGCAAAGACCATCAGGGTGTTGAAGAGCCTCAGCTAAGTTCCTGTACTTCTTGTTTCTGTGAATGATGTGCATTTCCAAGGGCAGGCGCATGTCGTTGAGCGTGTGCTCTGAGCCGCGGTTGTTCTTGTCTCCCCAGTGGAAGTGCAGTCCCTCGATTTCGTACTCGTTGTCTAGAGGCCCGCCGAATATGTACGGCAGACGGAACCCTTTCTTCTCTTCCTCCGAACTGTACTTTGGAATCGTTAGAGCCACTGTGGAGCATGAATGTTATCATTGTTAGTTCTTATAAGAGCGGTGGTTAAATAGTTGTTTTTTCTTTTAAAATCCAGGAAAAGAACATTTAATATCTTCTCTGCTGGCTAATGAAGTAACTTAATTAGAAAGAATAACTGATGGTAACTCCATGAGATTTAAACATTTGAATGTGCTCATTGTCCCTATAATACCTTTTGTTCTTGTGGTTATATTATCTCTCTACGAGATATTACTGAAATAATCTGCATTATTTACATATTTAGTCCAATATAATTTGACATTCTTTCCAAACACTAGACTTTGAAGGCTGATAAATATGTAGTTACACAACTGATATAGGTACTTAGAATTAGTTAGAATGTTGTTCGCAAAACTTGCCTAATCTTAGCAAAGCTATCGAGAGTGTTCACTATTGCACTATCGAATACCTAGACTTTACATGTACTTGTCAAGTTTTTTTGCCTTGAAAACTAGTGTACAAGTTGGGTAAATCTTCCAATATAATCTAGTTTTTGAAGTTTTTGAGTCGCAGCACAATGAGATGAGATATGAGACTTACCAGAGTGGCCATTGTTGGTGATGGTGAGCGGTCCAGGCAGTGGGTTCTGGTAGCCGATGAGTTCCATCGCTGGAATTGAAATGGGTATGGCCTGGCGCGCTGATATGGCGATTGGAGACTGCTGGCGGCCTCCGCAGGCTGGGTGCAGCACCGCCCATCGGCGCTGATCGGAAGCGCGGTAGCCCCAGCCGAACACGAATGAGACTGCAGAAGATTTTTTTTTATTTATTCATCTTAATCATCATCATCAACCTATTAATGTGCCCACTGTGCGAGGCCAAGGCTTTCCTTTTATATTGAATAGGCAGATTGGGCCGTGACCCACCACGCGAGCCCAGTGCGAATTGATGGGGTGTTAACGACTACAGATGCAGCCGGGATCAAGGGCTTAAAGTGTCTTCCGAAGCACGGAGGACCACGAGATAATAAGTTTTTGGTCTCCCATCCAATGACCTACCATTGCGAACTATACTTTCACAGTATAACTAGCTTTATCATAATACTCACAGCAATTCTAATTTTTTAACTGTTTATTATTCCTTATAAAATAAGAAGATAAAGGTCAGGATATAAGTAAGTATAATTATGGTACAAGCAATGTATTTCATATCGTTGGTTACAAGGTACAAATAATAACTTTTCTAAGATGAACAGAATATTTTTTTCTGGTGTAAACCTTTCTCGTATTCACTGCGGGAGGCAACACCGTAGAAAACCGAAATTTGGCTGCAGTATTTTTGTTCTGTGCCTTTCCGCCTTATCATTATGAGATTTGTATCTTACAATGTTCAATGCAAATCAAAACATTCTCAAACATCTTGAGGAAATGTTTAATTATCGAGACAGCTGTGTTATTTAAACATGGTGTCTATCTTATTAACCATTTTATTAATTAATGATGAATGGATGTACCTAAGATGTTAACGATTCATAACTATGTTTTAAATGTTTTCGGTAAAAAGAGTTTTATTTCTTTGGTTTACTTTTGAAAGATAATTAACGTTTTTTGCACTGTGTTGTAACGCCCAGTAGCATGTGGCATATTAAATCTATAAATGGTTTTATACAAAAACTATTTCTCTAGCTCAAGATTCCGAATGAGTTATCAGACTAATTGCGCATAGTAAATAAATTATTTTTTTATTTGAATACATACATACGCGTTGTGCATAAATAATGTTAGACTGTACGACATTTAAATAATTGGAATTTAGACTAATTTGTGATTCTGCTAATGCCGGGCGCTTTAAATCAAAGCCGAGAACCTCTTTTTTTGATAAGATTATCTGACAAGATTATGCAAAGTTATGCCATAATGTTACAAACGAAGATTAATTGTTAACCCGATGTCAGGTGGCGTCAGTCCTGAATCAATTACCATATAATTGAGTTCAGCAGCGAAACTATAAAAATGTGATCTTTTTTTAGAACGAACTGGTTTTCTTATACCGCATTAATTTTGTCGCGATTTATTTATAATATCACCGTCTTTACGTGATAATTATCTCTTTTGTTGTTCCCAAACCATTCTCACGATAAACGGGATATGCAGCTGATGCGTTAATGTTTAACTTTCTTTTGCCAGTCTTTTGAGCTGAAACGTATTCTAGAATGTGCGAACTACAACAATTATAGAAATTCGTTAAATAATGCATTTATACAATACAATACACAATTCTTTATTGAAAACACCATAACACAGAACAGAAATGAGGGACATTACAATTGTAAAAAAGAGTGCTTTAATGGGCAGTCTTATCGCTAAAAGCGATTTCTTCCAGACAACCTTTGGATGGAGAGGATTGAAAGAAAGCTGGAGTCGGCGGTGTCAGTAAAAGAAACAAGGGATTTAAACGAATTTATGAATTAAATATATATACATAGACTATACATATAATAAGTTAAGTCCAGTCAGCAGAGATAAAAATGCAGCTACATCGACAAATAGTGATTTACAAGATTTTTAAAGACATTAATAGATTGTGCTAGTCTTAAGGATACTGGAAGAGAATTCCATAGACGTATAGCTTGGACGGTAAAAGAACTACCATAGAAGGTCGTGTCATGGATAGGAAATAATAGATTATATAAATAGACCCTTCATATTTATTTTCAAACAGGCTTGCCCTATATGCTGCATAGGTACCTCGCAAAAAAACTTATTTGATTTACTAATGCACATGTCACGTTTACGTATTAGTGTCTGTTACAAAAACTTATAGGTCCTCATAGATATATGTTAAATACTTACATTCTTGAATTCGTAATGCAAAGCATGTAACCTAGTGCATATGAAATATACAAACATGTGCGACCTCTGGAAGGTTGCAATTTAAATTATTCAATAAGTTACGGGATCAAACACGAACATAATATCTCGATTTATACAGAAAGCAATAAATAATTAGACGAAACTGATAGATATTTAATAATTAGATCGAAACCATAGTTATAGGTGAACATTATCATTTTACTTATATTCGCAGAAGTTAAAATAAAACAAAACCCTGCAATTAGAGCCCTCTTTCCCAGTGGGCACTTCGGGCAAGCTCCCGGGGCCCCCCTTAGATCAAATACAAAGTCCCTAGTTCCTGTCAAATCACCAAACGGGGGTCGTAGGGGCCCCATTATCCTAATATGCCCAGGGCCTCCAATAGGTCAAAGACTGCCTGCAATAGTTTAACTATAAGCGCCCCCGTATTGACAGATTTATATTTAATTACATATGCACAATATTTTATGATATTCTGGGATTTTGGCTAGAGAAATTATTATTACTATTTAACTAGAAAGTATATTAAGGCATGAAAATATAATAGCGTTGACATTAACCTATTTCCATTCGGTCAGACGATTGCAATATTCAACATTCCTGTATGTATAGGTGTTTAAGTAATAAAAAATTATAAAACGTGATTGTTTTAAGCAACCAGCTGTTATAGTTAACTTATCAGCAATTTTAAACATTCTAAAACGGACTACCTAGTTTAATTAACGTTCTTTTTTCGTTGTTCGTAGGTACTAAAATAGTTTGTTAATTTTATGTTCCGTAGCTAAATACACTACTTATGCGAACTGCTCTGAAAAACGATCAAAATGTCTACCTTGCTGCAATCGATTTTTGCGGTTCACGATATATAATAATCTGAGCGAGCTAGAAATCAAATATTTTCGAAATGATAAATAAACTTCATATGAATTCGTAATAAGATTTTTAGGATGGGTAATGGCGCCTTAACTAAACATTGAACTTAGGCAAATGGTCATTCCAAATTATAAACTCTTATTCCTTCACTAGGTCTATTATATGTGTATGCTTGGTCTTAAGTTTTCATATTTATTTTGTTTTGTTATGTGTACTCAGTATTAAGAATTAAAGAAACAGGAAATGGCGGTTACTTTTAAAAACGTATGAAGATTAAGTTTTTATTTTTTTAAGCATTTAACTGCTAGATGTGTAAATTTAAAGAAAAGTTTTAATAGAAAAAAATCCACACGGACCAGGCAGCAGACGGGACTCGAACCCGCACCCTTCGTAATCCGGGGGAATATACTGACCAATTATACTACCACGGCCCTTTTTTTTCTAGTAAAACTTTTCTATAGATTTAAACGTATGAAGAATTTACGGTAGGTAAATACACAAAATTATATTGAAAGGTTTACACATTTATAGGGAATTACTTGTTCGGATAAGTAACTATGTCTACTTAGTTAATTTTGGCATAAGCATAGGTATGAAACACTGATTCGATCAATCATGAGAGTAATGTTTGGTCGGATGTTTTCGCGAGCCACCGCCGATGCTCAAAGGAAATACGACGAGTTTCGAATTCTGATAGTGCATGTACCTACGTACTTATAACATTACAAATGGTTGCCCGCGATTATCTGAATCAAATCCCTTATTTCAATCCCTTTTTGAAGTTTTTCTTAATTGCCTTTTATCTGCAAACCAAAGTTTATCAAAATTGTATCTTGCCGTTGTCTAGAAGTTTAAAACGTAACAGTTTCACATATTTAATGATATTATATGGATAGATCTGTCTTTTGAATCTATTAATGCGAATTAGCTGTGAATTTCAATGCAGACTGAAAACAGGTGATGGATAATTCGAGATGCAGACGAATTTTTTAACTAGGTAGGTATTCAAATTAACTGTTCTTACTGATAATGCATGTCTACAAAATTTATTTAGACTATGTACAATTTGGAACGGTTTTTGAATAATATTAGGTTTTGGCGTCTCGGTAAAATCTGATATTTGGATGGCAGAGGGTTAATATTAACGTTTTATTTGACATTTGGACAAAATATAAAGTTTTAGCTCTACATTCATAAACAAATTTTAATTATTTTCAATTGTGATTTATGCATTATTAAATCGTTTACAACTTACCATGAATATCAATCTTAATCAATAGGTATCAAGAAAAGATTTGATAACGATCTTCTATTTGTTGATTGAATTTTTACAAACAATTAATTTTATCTAATTAAAATACTTAGTTTTTAAAGTTATTTATTACTGTTCATGAAATATGAAAGAAAGTGTTCCTATTTACAAGTTTTTTAATTTATTAAACTTTATTATTATTACTTTTCTTGTAATCAAATAGTAAATTATATAATTTAACTGATTGATTTATTATCGTTTAACTAATTATCTTTTTTTTATTATCTCGTTATTTTTTTATGCAACTCACCATTTATCGCCAATAAGGCGACGACTGTCGTAACACTGAAGGAACTCATGTTTGACTACACCGTAAGTGATGAGATGTTGAATGAGCAGGTGACTCGATGCTTCCTACCCCGGTGGTGGTGGCTTAAATACTACTACACCTGATAGAGTGCTCTGCAGTTTTCAATGGGCCAGGCGGCGCGTCATCGCCGTGAGAGCTAACCCCGTGCACGCCGCAACGTATCACACCGCTAATACGGTCCTTACGACCAGCCGGCCTATTCGTAAACTTTTTTGACATTTACAGTGACAACTAAAGAGAAAATTGCGTATCCATCGATGGTTTTCAGAACAAGTATCTTAGCGGCCTTATAATCACTAAATAGCTCGGTGACTACTGACTATGATTGTAACTAAATACTCGGAATCGTACTTAATTTACTTCCAATATTTAACTTACTAAAGGGTTTTTGACGTGACAACGTCTTAAATTAGGTTGCGGCTGGGAGTCACTTATGAAAAAGTGTAACGCTCGGTAACGTTACGATGAGTTTAAGTTTACATGTACAATGTTTTAGTAAACAAAATATATTTCTATAGTTAAAATTTGTGCAATTCTTATTTTCATTCAATTCCTTGTTCCTATTGTGCAATTTAATTATATTCATATCAATAAATATTCTACCGAGAAAAAGACGTTGTCACGTAAAATCTTCGCCCGTAAAACCGACTTTACAGGCAACCATTTTTTTGGAAGTGTGCATGATGCGACGTTGGTCACATGTGGTTTTGATTTATAATGTCATCGGAGTTGGTATAGTCGAAAAATGGCAAAAAACACAAGTGGTTTACTACAACTAGGTGGAAGAGTCCAGGGGGCCAATCGCCTAACGGAAATGCTTTGGAAAACGCTAACGCTTACGATTTTATTTTGTTATTTCTAGCCGCCTGAGATATTCAAATGCCTCGCGCTCTTTCTTTTTCTTTTGCATTGGTGATAACAATATTAAAAAAAATGAGCGTGAGGTATTCGAAAACCTCAGGCGGCTAGAAATAACAATATAAAATCGTAAGCGTTAGCGTTTCCCAAAGCATTTCCGTTAGGCGATTGGCCCCCAGTCCCCACGGGAGAAGTATCTGCTCCGACCTAGAATCACTTCAAGGCGTTGACGCAAATAGGATGTAACGAATCTCTAGTCGGTCGTATAGTTATGATGTAGATTATTTACTCAAATTGTAGAGCACGTCTTAGGAAGTCTTATTCTCCAAATTCTACTTCCATGAAGACTGCTGCCAAATAAAACAGTGATTGTGGTCTGCAAATCACTACGTGTGATAGATCAACAGGCTAGAAAGAGACATGAAAATTACACGCTTTATACGAATAAATTCGAAAGATATAGACAAAAGAAGACTAATTCGACTAGAAAAAAATCCACGCTGACCAGGCAGCAGACGGGACTCGCACCCTTCGCTATCCGGGCGAATGCACTGGCCAATTATGCTACCGCGGCCCTGATGGCCGCGTCGAAATTCCTGCAGCTATTCTTAAGCTGCAAGGCAGCGCCATCTCTTTCTAGTTATATTTTCTTTAGATTTAAACATCAAGCAGTTACATGCTTAAAAATTAAAATTAAAAAAAGAAGACTAGTTATTTTTTACTGAACAGGCACAAAATTGGACGTAACCGGGTTCTAATACAATATAATAAAAATGGTTTTTCCATTTCCATTGAACTTTTTATGTATTCCGTGAGGACAAAATTGAAGAATAGAATTTTTTAACTGCAGGCAGATAGTGCATGTGTACGTACATGCATGATAGTGCTAACAGTGTGAAGTAAGTTTAAACTTTGTAACTAAAATTTGGTAAAAAAATGTTATTGCGATGAATGTTTTGCTTGAATATAGGGATAAGTTATTGTACAAAGTTATACAAGGCGATTCATTTGACATCAGAGGTGATGTAAAAGTTTCCTGAAATAAAACGTATTATATTCCCATATAATCCTTATACCATAAAAGGCTAACGTAACATGTACGTAACAGAGTGAATAAGTGACGTATTGTTCAATACGTCTACATTTTATTCCAGCGGATTTCCCTGTTCACATGCTTCATCGTTTGTTATCTTTGGAAATAAACCATTATTCACGTCTATTCCAATAAAATTGTAAAGATTTAGGTAATAATTGCTATTCTTAAAGTAAGTATATCTGTACTAAAAATAGAGTAATCGCAAGCTTGAGTATTTCAAAATCTATTTTCAACACTGTTTACTGCTAAAATTATACTTGTACGTAAGAGCGTCCCTCTATCGAGAAAAGGATGTTTTTACTCTTAGTATAATAAGTACAACACTACCCCGTGGCCACAGCTACTGATATCAAACTGACATTTGGTTTGTACCAAAACCTATACATATACGCGCTGTCCGCGTAGCGAGTTACTCGTACATTCGATTGAGTAACCGTCCTAACATCACGTAAAATATTAGTAAGTAGTAACACAAAATAATTAACACATGCCACTTCTCTTGCGATAAAACATTTCGTCATGCTTTTCTTATATGAAGAAATTAAAAGAGTTTGTGTACAGTCAAGGACTCTTCATTGGTTACAATTTGACATCGGTACAGTCTTTATTAGGAAGCATTAAAAGCGATTTAGTGTATCCGATATTGTGGCAACTGCCCAGTGCTCACTGTAGGTAAGTGTATAAAGTTACATACAAAATTATTTATTCAAAGTACATAGTCATATTAATATAGCATTATGGCAGAATTACTTCTGCAGCAGCTGCTCTAGTTTTGGTTCCAGTTGCTTTATAAAGGCTGTATGTAAGGCTGGAGGACGAATAAATAAAATAAACCGGTCAAGTGCGAGTCGGACTCGTGTACTAAGGTTTACGTACAAACTTTTAGGTATATAAATGGTTTAACTCAGGAATCTAATTATTTTAGTCAAGCTAATTTAAAGATGGTAATAACTCTATCGCATTTATTTATTTAATGTGATTTATCAATAAAAATTCTATGTTTCCGGATTCTTGCTTTACCTGTCCTACATATTTCAACAAAGGAATAATTATAGCTTTTGATTTCCTTAAGATTCTCAGAAATTATAGCATAAACGATGCATAGACTTATCGCATAGAAAATTTGATGGTGTTGACTTTGATTTCACTCTCCAAGAGAATGCAAAGTCTGTATTCTCTTAAGAGTCCATATTCCATACTAGCTAATTACAGCTTAATAACTCCTCTGGTTCCTGGGAAAAAGTAGTTTTGGCTTGACAGACGGACAATAAAATGATCCTATGAGTCATTCGTTTTTCTTTTACGTATGGAACCCAAAATAGTGTTAATTCGAAGCCAGCAACAGTACGTATGCCGATAAGATTGGCGTTACTTCAACAATGTAAATCAGCTATTGTAGTATAACCCCGTAACTCTGGTTCTACTAAAACATTAATCAAAACAACTTTTTATAGACTTAAGGTATATTTAATCGGAATAATGATTAACTTAATGCACCTAATGCCTTTAGGGCTACTTTGACCCCTACCGTATGACAAAAGAGTATGTAGAACACACTCGAATAGTTTAGGGTTAAGACAAAATGTTCGAATCTTAACGAACAATAGACATTATCATATTGTCGTTGGGATCATTGGGATGATGTCAATAATTAGACTAGTTTATAAAACAGGCCCATTGACTAGAATAAAAACAAAAATATATTACTGCAGCTCCCATAATAAACTTTTTGTTATTATTGCTTATAACGTTTCCCTCGTGTAATCAACTCCATATATAAAGGATAGTGAGTTTCGAATTATGTTTCAGTAATTTTTCAGAAATTATAGTCTACGTTTTTCATCTCTAGTTCCTCTTATTATCTTTATCTTCTCTTACAAAAGTCATTGAAAAATAATTAATTCATTCGTTTAATTCATAATCCGTCATCAAGCCTGCGCAGACGAGGGACTTTTCTCCGCGGACTCTTTTGTCCGCCAAAATAGATCGCTTACGCACACGACGGATTATAAGTACCGCGTACAAAACTCAATTGAACAGGAGCAGCAGCTAGGGTTACCAACTTCTTTTCTATCGAATATAGTATTTTCGAAGCGTTACTTCTAAAAATATAGTATTTTGGTTCTACTACACCAATGGTCCAGAGATGGCGCTGTAGTCTCCTGAATCGCGCTTTGGTTCCGTTGTTCCAGATTAATAAATACTTTTGATAGGCCTTCACAATGCAGTCGTTAGCACCCACTAAATAAAGATTCTATTTCTATTTTGTTGGTAGATTTTCTTAATGTGTGGTAAACACAAAAGTAACTCATGAAGTTGGTCGCTAAAGCGACCAACTTCATCCATATTTATAAAATGGAAAAAAATATGTGGTTAAAATATTTACCTTATTTTTGAATAAAATATATTTTTGCTGCTCTTTGCCTTACTACTAATATAATAATAATAATTTCTTATAATTTTTAAGAAAGCTTTTACTGTGAAAAATATGCTTTAAGCAAAATATATTAGTTTCGCCTACTAAGTATATATATATTCTTTAAATATAGTATTTGATCCCCTAATATAGTAGGATACTATATTATATAGTAGGGTTGGCAGCCCTGGTAGCAGCACGCATTCAGCGAGCTTTAAAGCGCCTACTGACATGCCTGCCGCAGGGACAATCTAGGGTGCACGGCGGTCGGGGCAATATCGGCTTTTCTCTACACACATGCCTGCTATTCAGTGTTCGGGGGTATGTTGAGCTTAACACACGCGTTGATGATGGTCCCAGTGTCATCAAAAAATTGGAAGATCGATAGGCATGGCCTTGGCTTTTTCTATGGCGTTACCGCAAAAAAGGAAATACTGGGTGAAGAATTGGCAACAGAAAGTAATGTATTGTAAATAAGTAATGAATATATTAATAGAAAAAAATCCACGCGGACCTGACAGCAGATGGGACTCGAATCCGCACCCTCTGTTATCCGGGCGAATGCACTGATCAATTATGCTACCGCGACCCTGACGGCCGTATACAATTCTTTCTAGCCTTTCTTAAGCTACAAGGCAGCGCCATCTCTTCGCATTATAAGTAACCCACAATGTCAAATTAATACCTTTACAAGTATTA